AGGAGCAAAACCCTATCTCAAAAGTAAAGAAAAAAAAAAGAGAAGAAAAATATTTCTCTAAGTAACTATAATACTTGACTGTGTACTCACAGAAGGCAGGTATTTTAAATAATTGGCGTGTAATCCATTGTAGTAAAATTTCAAAGAAAATGCAGCATAATCATAAACAGAAGATTCTAATGATAAACTTTTAATACATAAGCATTTAAAAGAAACTAGAGACAATTTTTATGTTTTAAATATATGCTATGGTTACATGAAACTGCTGTAATCTAACTTTAGAAGCAAAGAATAGTGTTACATTGGTAAATAGAGAAAATATCCATATATTTTATGAAATATAGTGAGATCCTCCGATAAATAAAACAAATACTTTGAAATAATAGTGTATAATCAATAAGATAAAAAAAAAGTTCCCTATTTTCTTTTCTTTTCTTTTTTTTTTTTATAGACGGAGTTTCGCTCGTTACCCAGGCTGGAGGGCAATGGCGCGATCTCGGCTCACTGCAACCTCTGCCTCCTGGGTTCAGGCAATTCTCCTGCCTCACCCTCCTGAGAAGCTGGGATTACAGGTACGTGCCACCATGCCCAGCTAATTTTTTGTATTTTTAGTAGAGACGGGGTTTCACCATGTTGACCAGGATGGTCTCGTTCTCTTGACCTCTTGATCCACCCTCCTCAGCCTCCCACAGTGCTGGGATTACAGGCTTGAGCCACCGCGCCTGGCCCACGTTCCCTATTTTCTTATCCCTTTCACAAGAAGAAAATGGTTTTTTTTTCTCTTTTCTTTCTGCCAGAAGGAGGAAGAAAATTTTTAAGTCATCCCTGACAAAAATGCCTTTATGAGAGAACCAGGCATCGTAACTCACACCTGTAATGACAGCTACATGGTACATTGAAGCTGGAAAATTGCTTCAGGCCAGGATTTCAAAATCGGCCTAGGTTATGTAGCAAGACCCTATCTCCAAAACAACTGTCTTTAAAAGAACTTTGAGATCCAGGGAGGGAGTTGTGAAACTGCTAATGCCCAATGCTGAGAAGTGCTTCTTTTCAGAAGGCAGGTGGTAAACTACAGAACTCCTGTATTTTAGTACAAAACTCCTGTTTTTTAGTACAGACCAGGAAATGGCCTCTCCCACTTGGTCCTACTGATAATTCTGAATTTACTCTGTAATCATCTCAAACATTTCCCAGCCACAGTCTGAAGAGGTCATGCCCTTTCAGAGGCCTTAAGAAAGATACCCACTTATAGCTATGCCAGGCCTGCAGAGCTGTGGTCCCTGAAGCAACTCAATGACTCAGTTTCAGCTCCCTGAGCCACAGTTCATAGCCAGTTCTGCCTATGTTAAAACCCACACAGTGGGCTGGGCACAGTGGCTCACACCTGTAATTGCAGCACTTTGGGAGGCTGAGGCAGGAGGATCACCTGAGGTCAGGAGTTTGAGACCAGCCTGACCAACATGGAGAGACCCCATCTCTATTAAAAATACAAAAAAAAAAAGAAAAATTACCTGGATATGGTGGGCATGCCTGTAATCCCAGCTACTCGGGAGGCTGAGGCAGGAGAATCACTTGAACCCGGGAGGTGGAGGTTGCAGTGAGCTGAGGTCACACCATTGCACTCCATCCTGGGCAACAAGAGCAAAAATCCATCCCCCCGCCCCACAAAAAAAACAACAACCCACACAGTGATCTGGAAAAATCCTCTCTCATACACAGTGAATGCCATACTCATCCATAAGACCCATCATATTCAGAGCCAACTGCAGAAACCTGCCCTAGTGTCTGCCCTACAGGTCGAAGTCCTGAGGAAAATTCAGTCTGTCCAAAAAATAAAAATAAAATTCAGTCTGTCCAACTACCCAAGCCCCTTGTAACAAGCCAACTAAAGGTAGACCCTAGTGCAGACCCAGCTGCCTTGTGACCAAGCTACACGCCCTCTCCACTACCAATGCAGAGGGCATCCCATCACCCTGGGGCCCAACAAAACATGTTTACCTTCTAAAAACAGGTTATAAACACTTGAAGAGCCATTTGTTTCTTCAAATTTAGAGACACTAATACAAAACTATATTTTGCCTATTGTCAATGCTTCTATTTTAACAAAGAACTGTAAGTAATAGGCAGAAGAATTAGTCAAAAAAATGAAAAGAGGCATTTAAATTGAAGACAAATAAGTAAAAACTTGCTGGCTATAGATCATATGATTATAGATATAAAAGAATATAAACAGTACATTAAAACCTGTCTAAACTAATAAATACACTCAGTAAATTGGCTAAATATTAAATTAACATACAAGGTATGGTTCTATACCCTTAAAATAAGCTATCTGATAAAATATTTTTGAAAATGTTGCTTACACCCAGGAGTGGTGGCTCACGTCTGTAATCCCAGAACTTTGGGAGGCTGAGGCAGGTGGATCATCTGAGGTCAGGAGTTTGAGACCAGCCTGGCCTAAATGGTGAAACCACATCTGTACTAAAAATACAAAAATTAGCCAGGTGTGGTGGTGGGTGCCTGTAATCCTAGCTACTTGGGAGGCTGAGGCAGGAGAATTGTTTGAACCAGGAGGCAGAGATTGCAGTGAGTGGAGATCACAGCACTGCACTCCTGCCTGAGTGACAGAGTGAGACTCTGTCTCAAAAAACCAAACCAAACAAAAAAAAAAAAACTTGGCTAGGTGTGGTGGCTCATACCTGTAATCCCAGCACTTTGGGAGGCCAAGGTGGGCAGATTACAAGGTCAAGAGTTTGAGATAGCCTGACCAACATGATGAAACCCCATCTCTATTAAAAATACAAAACTTAGCCAGGTGTGGTGGCACGCTTCTGTAGTCCCAGCTACTCGAGTGGTGGAGGCAGGAGAATTGCTTGAACCCGGGAGGTGGCGGTTGCAGTCAGCTGAGATAGTGCCACTGCACTCCAGCCTGGGTGACAGAGTGAGACTACCTCTCAAAAAACAAACGATAACAACAAAAATCTTATTTACGATAGCACTAAAATAATAAATTTCTGAGAAGAAATTTAATCCAAGAGACAGATAATATTTACAATGAATGATATGAGATTAATGAAAGACATTAGAGAAGACACAGATAAATTTAAAAATATTTCATGTCTATAGATGGAAATAAGAAGTATTGTTAAAGAGCCATATTATAGGACCCCATGTCTGGAATGCCTTCCATGAACCCTCCCTTCGTGGAAGCCATCTTTCTCTCTCCTGGATTTCCCCTCTGGAGTCCCCTTCCACACTCTCTCGTGGAAACCTGTCTTTCCTTCCTAAACTCTATCTCTCTATTCCCTTCCCGTGAGTGTGGAAGCTGCTTTTCTCTCCTGGATTCCATCTTTCTGGATTCTCTCGCTCAGTGTGAGAGTTAGCTGTTTCTTTCTCTCTCTAAATAAATCACTTTCTCCAAAAAAAAAAAAAAAAAAAAGAAGAAGAAGAGCCATGTTATTGAAGGTGAGTTACAGATTCAATAAACTCCCTATCAAAATTCAGGGCATTTTTTTTACAGTAATGAATAATAGGATTCTAAAATTTACATGAAACTACAATAAACTTTGACTAGTCAAAGCAGTCTTGAGAAAAAAACAAAGCAGAAGGACATAATACTTTATAATTTCCAACTATATTTGCAGACTATAGTGATACAAACAGGATGGAAGGTGCAGAAAAATAAACAAAACCCCACTACTCTCACACATTTCAGACGTACAAAAAGAGAACTTAGTTAATAGTTTAACATAAAGTTTCTCAAAATTATGCAGGCATTTGTGTGTCCCCCAAAACAATGGAAAAGCAGTCAGATTGTGCAGTCTCTCTTTTCTTTTTTTTTGAGACTGACCCTTGCTCTGTCACCAGGCTGCAGGGCAGTGGCATGATCTCAGCTCACTTCAACCTCCAACCCCTGGGTTCAAGCGATTCTCCTGCCTCAGACTCCCCAGTACCTGGGATTATAGGCATGTACCACCATGCCCAGCTAACTTCTGTATTTTTAGTAAAGACCGGGTTTCACCATGTTGGCCAGGATGGTTTCGATCTCTTGACCTCCTGATCCCCCGACTCGGCCTCCCAAAGTGCTGAGATTACAGGCATGAGCCACTGCACCTGGCCTGTGCAGTCTCTTATATGTGATTAGGAAGACTTTGGCTCTCATTCTAAAATTGAAGGCAGATCACTGAAAGGAAAGCAGAGTCCTGAGATAAAAGCATAACACAGGGCCGGGCGCGGTGATTCACACTTGTAATCCCAGAAATTTGCAAGGCCAAGGCGAGCAGATCACTAGGTCAGGAGTTTGAGACCAGCTTGGCCAACATAGTGAAACTCTGTCTCTACTAAAAATACAAAAATTAGCTGGGCATGGTGGTGAGCAGCTGCAGTCCCAGCTACTCAGGAGGCTGAAGCAGGAGAATTGACTTGAACCCGGGAGGCAGAGATTCAGGTGAGCTGAGATAGCACAACTGCACTCCAGCCTGGGCAACAGAGCAAGAGACTCTGTCTCAAAGAAAAAAAGCATAAGACAGAAGATTCCCCTATGTGAGAGCAAAATAAGAAAATCAGCTGGGTGGCTTACACTTATAATCCCAGCACTTTAGGAAGCTGAGGTGAGTGGATTACTTTAGGTCAGGAGTTCGAGACCAGCCTGACCAACACATAGTGAAACCCCATCTCTACTAAAAAAATACAAAAATTAGCCAGGTGTGGTGGTGCACACCTGTAGTCCTAGCTACTTGGGAAGCTGAGGCAGGAGAATCACTTGAACCCAGGAAGGGGAGGTTGCAGTGAGCTGAGATCGTGCCATTGTACACCAGCCTGAGTGACAGCAAGAGTCCGTCTCTCAAAAGAAAAAAGAAAAAAAGAAAAACTCAGGCTTTCCAGAAACGATTTCCTTGGGAACACAGCTTCCCAAATCACATCATAAGGACTAGCTTTTTCTTTGACCTTTGAACTGCTCATCTCTGTCATCTGTTGTATTCACTTACATTCTTACCTACCTGGGGGTTTGGCCACCATCTCATGTCTCTCTATAGTCCAAGCCTCTTTTTCTTGCTCCAGCCAAGTGATCAGGTCTGGCTTAGAGACAGCAATACCTGTTTTATTGAAAATAAATAACCTAAGTCTTGCTCATGTTCTATAATCACCAACCTGGCAATGTGCTTAGTAAAGAGGATAAAATATAACATTCTTGTCCCTTAATCTCAAAATACTGATTTATAAAATAAATTTCTAAATATTTTAAAAGCATCTTAAATTTTTTAGTTCTTAGGCCCGGCGCGGTGGCTCATGCATATAATCCCAGCACTTTGGGAGGCCAAGGTGGGTGGATCACGAGGTCAAGGGATTGAGACCATCCTGGTTAACAAGGTGAAACCCCGTCTCTACTAAAAATACAAAAATTAGCTGGGCATGGTGTTGTGCACCTGTAGTCCCAGCTACTCGGGAAGCTGAGGCAGGAGAATTGCTTGAACCCAGAATGCAAAGGTTGCGATGAGCCGAGATCGTGCCATTGCATTCCAGTCTGGGTAACAACAGCGAAACTCCGTCTCAAGAAAAAAAATTTTTTTTAGTTCTTAAATTTTAGTTCTAAATTCTTTAGTTTTTAATTTCACTGCCCAGTACAACAAATCAAAAATTGGCAGTTACATGTTAAAGTGTGGGCAATAGGCCAGGCATGGTGGCTCATGCCTGTAATCTCAGCACTTTGGGAGGCCGAGGCAGGTGGATCACCTGAGGTCGGGAGTTCAAGACCAGCCTGGCCAAAATGGTGAAACCCTGTCTTTAAAAAAAAAAAAGTGTGGGCAACAATATTTTATGCCACTAATGTTCTGGAATTGCCACTCTAATCTAGAGTGATGGATAAAGATTAGCTCAGGAATGCAGAAAGTTCAGGTGTCAAGATAAAACAAGTTGAAAAAATTATTTTTTACAGAGACAAATTCCTAAAATTTTTATAAAAGCAGGGATGTGAATCTCAATTATGCAAAGCATAAATTACCAAAAAAATTCTACAAAAAAAAAAAAAAAGAAAAGAAAAAACTGAAACCTTTAGGGGATAATAGGAATTGCGTATTAAACTTTTCCTCACCCAGGAAGACCAGGTTTCTGTAGTTCTCTAACATCACATTCCTATATAAATTCCGCTGGGCAGAGTCCAGGCATTGCCACTCCTCCAGAGAGAATTCTATGACCAAGTCCCTAAATTTCAATGGTTCCTGAAAAGCACACACAAACGTTTACAAAGTAGCCATGGGGAGAATTTATAATTTGACTCAAGGTAAAAATAAGAAAGCAAAGAGAACTGGTTCCAACTTACAGGAATGACTGAAATTTTCCAATAAAATAATTTTTTTTTTTTAACACAGGAACATTCTCCAAGGTATTTTCTAACCCTTAGAAAAGAGAGTGGCATAAAATCCATAACACTAGAAAATATATAATATCTTTCTGGATAATAAAGCATAAAATCAAGTACATAAACATCAACTTGTTAAGCTTTGTAAAATGAAAATGACAGATCAAGTTGGAAGGCACCTCTCAAATTTTAATGTATACAATAAACTGGAGATCTTATTAATGCAAACTGTTTTTTGAGATGTGAAATATAGTCTGATTGAATTTCTAACAAGCTCACCAGTAATGTCAATATATTTGGTCAGAGAACAATATTTTGTTAAAATCTAGTATGTTGAAGAGCCTGTGTTTTTCCTAGTTTTTTTGGCCTTTAAACAAAGATGAGAGCCTTCATCTACCAAAGACAGATATATACAAAGAAAACCTAAGAAAGAAGGGCAGCTGCCAGGTTAAATGTGATGGTTTGCCGGGTGTGGTGACTCAAGCCTGTAATCGGCACTTTGGGAGGCCGAGGCGGGTGGATCACGAGGTCAAGAGATCGAGACCATCCTGGTCAACATGGTGAAACCCCGTCTCTACTACAAATACAAAAAAATTAGCTGGGCATGGTGGTGCTTGCCTGTATCCCAGCTACTCAGGAGGCTGAGGCAGGAGAATTGCCTGAATCCGGAAGGCGGAGGTTGCGGTGAGCCAAGATCACGCCATTGCACTCCAGCCTGGGTAATAAGAGCAAAACTCCATCTCAAAAAAAAAAAAAAAAAGTGATGGTTTATGCACTGCTGCATAAATATATACTTAATGATAAAGAGAAAAATACTTATAGTAAAACAGTTTGTCAGAGAGATATTTAACCAAGTGAATCGTTAACATCAACTACACTAGGACAGATTTTTATACTCTGCTGATACACACAGAAGGACACGGCATCACTGATGGGACACTGCATCCTGAAAAAGTAAATTATAGTCTAAATTTAACCATAAAACATCAGTTTTATGCAAAGTTCACAATGCAGGTATCTCCTATGCTTTGTAGTTTTTTGTTTTGTTTTTTTTTTTGAGACGTTTCGCTCTTGTTACCCAGGCTGGAGTGCAATGGCGCGATCTCCGCTCACCGCAACCTCTGCCTCCTGGGTTCAAGTAATTCTCCTGCCTCAGCCTCCTGAGTAGCTGGGACTACAGGTGCACGCCACCAGGCCCAGCTAATTTTTTTGTATTTTTTTAGTAGAGATGGGGTTTCACCATGTTGACCACGATGGTCTCGATCTCTGCACCTCGTGATCCACCTGCCTCGGCCTCCCAAAGTGCTGGGATTATAGGCGTGAGCCACCTCGCCCAGCCACTTTGTAGTTTTTAATAGTGACTTTAGGTAGTCTTTCTTGAGCACCCTGGAGGGCAGGTATCTCCTAATAATGTTTCTCAGAATTTTCTGGTTAATAAATGCCATATTGTTTAATAGGCATTTTCTTAATCAGTTTATGCACAGAACTAATGAGAAACACGGATGGAACCTTACGTGTTCTCCATTTTTACTGAGAACCCCAGCTTTTTTTAAAATAGTAATCTTGAGTATACACACCGTCCCATGTTCAGCAGCCACAAAAGGAACATTTTTAATATTGCAGATTATAAATTCATGGTAAGAAATCTATAAGAAATATACAAAGCCATGATGTAGAGAATATAGTCAAGGCTCTGGTATACAAGAAAAAATTATTTTTTAGAGACCCTCAGCTATAATAAAAAAATTTAGGCCGGGTGCGGTGGCTCAAGCCTGTAATCCCAGCACTTTGAGAGGCCGAGACAGGTGGATCACGAGGTCAAGAGATCGAGACCATCCAGGTCAACAAGGTGAAACCCCGTCTCTACTAAAAATATAAAAAAGTAGCTGGGCATGGTGGCGCGTGCCTGTAATCCCAGTTACTCAGGAGGCTGATGCAGGAGAATTGCCTGAACTCAAGAGGCCAAGGTTGCGGTGAGCCGAGATCGAGCCGTTGCACTCCAGTCTGGGTAACAAGAGCGAAACTCCGTCTCAAAAAAAAAAAAATTAAAGTATTTAAACTCATTAGGGCGCTGGGCACAATGGCTCATGCCTATAATCCCAGCATATTGGGAAGCTGAGGCAGGCAGGTGGATCACTTGAGGTCAGGAGTTTGAGATCAACCTGGCGAAAATGGTAAAACCCTGCCTCTACTAAAAATATGAAATATAGCCTGGTGTGGTGGTGGGTGCCTGTAATCCCAGCTTTTCGGAGGCTGAGGCAGGAGAAATCATTTGAACCTGGGAGGCAGAGGCTGCAGTGAGCCGAGATCACACCACTGTACTCCAGCCTGGGCAACAGAGTGAGACTTTATCTCAAAAATAATAATAAAATAAATAAATAAAAATAAATTCATTAGGGAGAAAAAACACAAGTAGAAAAGTAAATACTTGTCCAGGTGTGGTGGCTCTCGTCTGTAATCCCAGCACTTTGGGAGGCCGAGCCAGGTGGATTACCTGAGGTCAGGAGTTCAAGACCAGTCTGACCAACATGGTGAAACCCTGTCTCAAAAAAAAGAAAAGAAAAGAAAAGTAAATACTTTCGGATACTAAATGCATGGCCTTGCAGGAGGCAGAGTGAACGCAGCTCTTAATCTGAGACATATTTAGCTTAAGAAGGAAGCCTTTTTTTCCCCTTTTTCTCCTCCTTTTCTGGAAATCTTTCTCAGAGGAGATTCTCTGGACAAAGTACATCTGCATTTTGAGAATATGCCTTTGAAGGTGTCGACACCATCAGTTTATCTGCTACCACCCCACTCACAGGCAGAAGGATCAGGACCTGCAGAAAAAGTCTACCCATTTATGTCCTTTATGCAAAAAGAGTGTGAAGATTAAGATACAATTTCTGTCTTTTTTTTTTTTGAGATACAGTCTCGCTCTGTCACCTAAGGCTGGGGTGCAGTGGCGAAATCTCAGCTCACTGCAACCTCCGCCTCCCAGGTTCAAGTGATTCTCTTGCCTCAGGTTCCTGAGTAGCTGAGATTACAGGTGTGAGGCACCATGCCTAGTTAATTTTTATTTTATTTTATTTTTGAGAAGGAGGCTTGCTCCATCGCTCGGAAGCTGGAGTGCAGTGGAGCAATCTCAGTTCACTGCAACCTCCGCCTCACTGGTTCAAGCAATTCTCCAGTCTTACCCTCCTTAGTAGCTGGGACTACAGGCGCCTGCCACTATGCCTGGCTAATTTTTGTATTTTTAGTAGAGATGGGGTTTCACCTTGCTGGTCAGGCTGGTCTTGAATTCCTGACCTCAGGTGATCCACTGTCTTGGCCTTCCAAAGTGCTGGGGTTACAGGCGTGAGCCACCACGCCCAGCCCTGTATTTTTAGTAGAGATGGGGTTTCACCACAATGGTCAGGCTAGTCTCAAACTCCATACCTTGTGAGTCAAAGTGCTGGAATTACAGGCGTGAGTCAGCTCAACTGACCAATTTCTCTTTTCTAGTCTTTAGAAGCCCTCCCTTGCCACAGAAACCAGCAATTTTTTCTTCAGTAATGGAAATATGGGCCACACTGTCCTGTCCTGTCCCTACCAAACCCAACCAGGGCAGGCCCTGTGACCACCCTTTAGTTCAAAGATGGAACTTAGCTCTCATGAATGTCTTGAACCCCTCATACTTGATTCTGGTCTCACCTTAAAGTTACATGAGGAACTTTATTAAAAAAAAAAAAAAAACAAACATGATGCACCAGGGGCAGTGGCTCATGCCTGTAATCCCAGCACTTTCGGAGGCTGAGGTGGATGGATCACAAGGTCAAGAGATAGAGACCATCTTGGCCAACATGGTGACACCCCGTTGGTGTGGTGGCGCACCCTGTAGTCCCGTGAGACTGAGGCAGGGGAATCACTTAAAAAACTGGGAGGTGGAGGTTGCAGTGAGCTGAGTTCAGGCCACTGACCTCCAACCTGACAACAGAGTGAGATTCCATCTCAAAAAACAAACAAACAAAAAACATGAATGCTTCCGCCCAGAATATTAAACAGAACCTGTGGAAAAACCAAAAGTAAAGAGATTGCTGCAGATTGGCCATTGGATTCTAATGAGAACCTGGGCTTGTAACACTTTGATAAGCATTGCCTCTCAAGCTTTAATGTGTTTATAATCACTTGGTAATTTTGGCCCCACTCTATGTAATGTGATTTTGCAGGTTTGGAAAGGGTCTGTGAATGGGTGTTTTAAACAAGTTTCCTGTCAAAGCTGATGTTGCTTGCTCTGTAATTATTATTAACACTAGTTAGAGGCCAGGTGCAGTGGCTCAAGCCTGTAATCCCAGCACTTTGGGAGGCCGAGGCGGGTGGATCACGAGGTCAAGAGATCGAGACCATCCTGGTCAACATGGTGAAACCCCGTCTCTCCTAAAAATACAAAAAATTATCTGGGCATGGTGGCGCATGCCTGTAATCCCAGCTACTCAGGAGGCTGAGGCAGGAGAATTGCCTGAACCCAGGAGGCAGAGGTTGCGGTGAGCCGAGATCGCACCATTGCATTCCTGCCTTGGTAAGAAGAGCAAAACTCCATCTCAAAAAAAAAAAAAACACACTAGTTAGAGAAAGCAGGCACAGCACAGAGTCCCTTACACTGAGCACTCTTGTCACACCACAAATACCTGTAGTACAAATGAAGACAACCACTGAGCATCTTAATTCTTTGCTGACTCCTTAAGACTTACAGGCTAGGCTGGGTGCGGTGGCTCACACCTGTAATCCCAGGACTTTGGGAGGTTGAGGCAGGCAGATACCCTGAGGTCAGGAGTTCGAGACCAGCCTGACCAACATGGTGAAACCCCATCTCTACCTAAAATGCAAAAATTAGCCAGGCATACGCCTGTAATCCCAGTTATTCAGGAGGCTGACGCGGGAGAATTGCTTGAACCCAGGAGGTAGAGGTTGCAGTGAACGGAGATCAGGGCATTGCACTCTAGCCTAGGCAACAGAGCAAGACTCCATCTCAAAAAAAAAAAAAGACTTACAGGCTAAACAGAAGGCAGCAATGTCTGAATAAACCTGTATTCTGAGAACACATACACACAGTATTAATGCAGTGCATTCTGAACAGGTACTATGTGCTCAACATTATGTTACAGAGTGCTCACGTTGGCAGCACACACACTAAAATTGAAATGATAGAGATTAACAATGGCTCCTGTGCAAGGATGACATGCAGTTCTGTAATGCATTTCATATGTTTATAGCCAGGACAATCCTAAGCAAAAAGAAAAGAACTAGAGGCATCACACTACCTGACTTCAAACTATACTACAAGGCTACAGTAACCAAAACAGCATGGTGCTGGTACCAAAATAGCATGGTGCTGTTATTAAAACAGATATATAGACCAATGAAACAGAACAGACACCTCAGAAATAACGCCACACATAGACAATCGTCTGATCTTTGACAAACCTGACACAAACAAGCAATGGGGAAAGGATTCCCTATTCAGTAAATGGTATTGGGAAAACTGGCTAGCCATACGCACAAAACTAAAACTAGACCCCTTCCTAACACCTTATACAAAAATTACCTCAAGATAAATTAAAGACTTAAACGTGCCAGGTGCGGTGGCTCATGCCTGTAATCCCAGTACTCTTAGGGGCTGAGGCAGGCAGATCACAGTCAGAAGATCGAGACTATCCTGGCCAATGTGGTAAAACCCTGTCTCTACTAAAAATACAGACATTAGCTGGGCATGGTGGTACATGCCTGTAATCCCAGCTACTCGGGAGGCTGAGGCAGGAGAATTGCTTTAACCCAGGAGGTGGAGGTTGCGGTGAGCCGAGATGGTGCCATTGCACTCCAGTCTGGGTAACAAGAGTGACACTCCGTCTCAAAAAAAAAAAGAAAAAACAAACTGACCTTTGGCTCAAGCCTGTAATCCCAACACTTTGGGAGGCCGAGGCAGGCAGATCATGAGGTCGAGAGATTGAGACCATCCTGGCCAACAAGGTGAAACCTTGTCTCTACTAAAAATACAAAAATTAGCTGGGCGTGGTGGCATGTGCCTGTAGTCCCAACTACTCAGAAGGCTGAGGCAAGAGAATTGTTTGAACACGGGAGGCGGAGGTTGCAGTGAGCCGAGATTGTGCTCACTGCAACTCCAGCCTGGCACCTGGTGACAGAGTGAGACTGTCAAAAACAAACAAACAAACAAACAAACACATAAACAAAACCTGATATTAACATAAGTGAACAAATCTTTTAAGATGACAATCCTAGGGGGTGGCAGTGCTGATTAGAAAACATGTGTCTCACTCATATGTCAAGTCAGGCCATTCAATCACTTGAGATTCTCCCACCCCATCCTACTCACTTAATTGCCCAATGACCACCTTCTCAGGAGACTCTGCACTATGCCCCAGTGAGTGCCCCAAGTACATTTTACTTTGCAAGTTCTTGCACAGTCTCACCGGGGTCAGGTTTTTATTTTTTGTGATACTATTTTTTTCCACAAATCTTAAAGTACCCAGGGTACAGAAATTGTGTTTTCCCCTTAACACCAGCATCTGATTGGCTGACCAGCAATGTATCTTCAAGAAATGGAAACTGAGTTGAGTGAAGACAATCTTTTTTATGTTATTTATTTATTTCTTTTTGAGATGGAGTTTTTACTCTCGTTGCCATGGCTGAAGTGCAATGGCAAAGTCTCGGCTCACTGCAGCCTCCGCCTTCAGAGTTCAAGCAATTCTCCTGCCTCAGCCTCCAGAGTAGCTGGGATTACAAGCATGTGCCACCATGCCTGGCTAATTTTTCTATTTTCCATAGAGACAGGGTTTCACCACGTTGGCCAGGCTGGTCTCAAACTCCTGACCTCAGGTGACCCGCCCTCCTAGGCATCCCAAAGTGCTGGGATTACAGGCATGAGCCACCACACCCATGGAGTGAAGACAATCTTAATGTCTCAAGGGGTTAGCTTTTCAAAGGAAGAGTATATATACCAGGAGATTCCTCTCAGCCCCCAGCATTCAACTGACTGCTCCCTTGAAAGGCTACATTCTGTATCTGATTGTCTTATGGGAGAAAATGACCCAGGAGCTGATCTTCACTAGACACTCTAGCAGACATAGTCATGGTGGGTATATTGGTTTATTCACAGACACTACTGAAACCCAGAACTGGAAAAAACTAAAGGGTGCCTGAGGACATATCACCCAATAAAGCTCCCAAACAAAACAAGACAAAATAAAACAATAGAAAACTTGACCCCAAAACATTCTTTTAAGATCTCTGTGCCTAGGGAAAATAAAAGAAAAGGAGGCACGAAGTTTTTTTTAAAGAATACAGTAACGGGATTATTCTTTGCTTTCTCCTCACAGGAGATACTTACAAACAGAAACAAATCTCTTTAAATATGCTATCCAATGCTTTGTTGAAAAATGATTAATTAAAATATGGTATGTAAAATGTACACTAAAGGACAAATAGTTAATAATGTGAATGAGGGAAAGGAAGTTGACATTTGAGATTGTCAGAAGAAGCTCAAAATTTAGTATTTTATTGCAAACCAGAGATAGAGGGAGATTTGAGAAGCTGCTTGGGACATTTGTATAAAATGCAGGAAAGTATCAGTCCCCCATGGAGTCTGAAAATATTTAAGTGGCAGACAATTCGACTGAGGTTGCTCTGGTCCCTGAATTCCTACTTAAAAAAATTATAACTGAAATGCTTTTTTTTGGTAAATTACTACATTGGGGGAAACAAAATTTAGTCTTAACCAACTATAAATTGCCAATTAAGTTCTCACTATGAAACCGGGAAATTTTACCCTCAAAGTAAAAATTAAGAAATTACGTGCCGGGAGCAGTGGCTCACGCCTGTAATCCTAGCACTTTGGGAGGCCGAGGTAGGTGGATCACGAGGTCAAGAGATCGAGACCATCTTGGCCAACATGGTGAAACCCAGTCTCTACTAAAAATACAAAATTTAGTGGGATGTTTGGCACGCTCCAATCCTCCTAGCTACTCGGGAGGCGGAGGTTGCAGTGAGCCAAGACTGCGCCACTGTGTCCAGCCTGGCAAAAGAGCAAGACTCTGTCTCAAAAAAGAAAAAGCAAGCAAGCAAGAAATTATGTAACTAACTGATTATTGAATTTAAGTTTTTGCATCATGCACCTTAAAAAAGTCTTTCCAGGGCCAGGCGCGGTGGCTCAAGCCTGTAATCCCAGCACTTTGGGAGGCCGAGGCGGGTGGATCACGAGGTCAAGAGATCGAGACCATCCTGGTCAACATGGTGAAACCCCATCTCTACTAAAAATACAAAAAATTAGCTGGGCGTGGTGGCGCGTGCCTGTAATCCCGGCTACTTGGGAGGCTGAGGCAGGAGAATTTCCTGAACCCAGGAGGCGGAGGTTGCAGTGAGCCGAGATCGCGCCATTGCACTCTAGCCTGGGTAATAAGAGCGAAACTCCGTCTCAAAAAAAAAAAAAAAGTCTTTCCAGCTGGGCATGGTGGCTCATTCCTATAATCTCAGAACTTTAGGAGGCCGTGTAGCGTGGATCACCTGAGGTCAGGAGTTCGAGACCAGCCTGGCCAACATGATGAAATCCCATCTTTACTAAAAATAAGAAAATTACACTTGGCGCCGTGGCTCACGCCTGTAATTCCAGCACTTTAGTTGGCAGAGGCAGGTGGTTCGCCGAACGTTAGGTGTTCGAGACCAGCGGGGCCAACGTGGTGAAACCCCGTCTCTACTAAAAATACAAAAATTAGCCGGGCGTGGTGACAGGCGCCTGTAATCGCAGCTACACAAGGAGGCTGAGACAGGAGAATTGCTTGAACATGGGAGGCGGAGGTTGCAGTGAACTGAGATTGCACTCTAGCCTGTGAGACAAGGGCAAGACTTAATCTCCAAAAAAAAAAAAAGAAAGAAAGAAAGAAAGAAAAAAGTCTTTGCTTGAAGCTCCTCCCACTGACAATTTTTGAACAACTCTTTCATTTAATTCTTTAATATTTTTGCGATAACTCCCCCCGCCTTTTTTTTTTTTTTTTTTTTTTTTTTTTGAGACGTAGACTCCCTTTGTCCCCCAGGCTGGAGTGCAGTGGCACGATCCGCCCGCCTTGGCCTCCCAAAGCGCTGGGATTACAGGCGTGAGAGTCACCGCGCCCAGCCTTTTGACTCCCATAAATTTTTTTTTTTTTTGAGACGGAGTTTTTGCTCTTGCTACCCAGGCTGGAGTACAATGGCGCGATCTCGGCTCACCGCAACCTCCGCCTCCTGGGTTCAGGCAATTCTCCTGCCTCAGCCTCCCTGAATAGCTGGGATTACAGGCACGCGCCACCACGCCCAGCTAATTTTTTGTATTTTTGGTAGAGGCGGGGTTTCACCATGTTGACCAGGATGGTCTCGATCTCTGGACCTCGCGATCCACCCGCCTCGGCCTCCCAAAGTGCTGGGATTACAGGCTTGAGCCACCACGCCCGGCCCTGACTCCCATAAATTTTTAATAAAACGAAAGAAAAACTGGGAATGCCACGGACCAAAGCTCTTCTCATTCATGAAGCCAGCAGAAGTCAAAATTCTCCCCTGATTACCCTCTCGTGGTCCCTACACAATCTGGGAAAGACGCGGCGCTGCAAGTGCAGAGCTGCCCAGAGAGGGCTCCAGGCCAGGGCACAATCACTGCGCAGGGAGGAGACAGGACGCCCAGGGACCGGCTGTCAGCACAGCCGCCATCTTACGGCTGAAGGGATTGAGGCCAAGCTGGGCAAGGAGAACTGTGGGCGCAGATTGTGGAGCTGACTGCAGGGAGGCCTGAGTCCCGCCACAGCCCCTTCCCCTCTCTTGGGATGTCGGACCCAGCACTCTCACCATTTCTAGGCTTCTAGGAGACCTGGCATCTTAGCTGGGCCTCTAGGAACAGAGACACATAGAAGTGAAGACAAGACCAGGAACTCCGGCTGCAGCAAGAGACAAAGGCCCCGCCACATCCCGGAAGCCGCCCTGTCCACTCCACCTGCGTGCCTGATTGGACAATTCCCAGGCCAGCGTCCCTGATTGGATAATCATTAAAAGCCCACCCCCTCAGGCCCTGAGTGACAAGATTTGATCAGACGCTCGGCCGAATGAAGACCAACAATCTAAGCTGCAGCCTTTTCAGACCGGGCTCCCTACCTGAGCTAAGCCAGGCCCACCCAACAGGGTATTTGCCTTTATCCTTCTGTGTAAGGTCATATGCATTTTAAGTAATACACTATATGGCTATTCAAAACTAAAAATATATTTAACAATTATTTTAAAATTTCAGCTTTTATAAGCATCCTGGTTTTTTGAGAGTCATAGTCCCTACCCCCGACAGCCCCAGCCCAGAGGGCATTCAAATCTTCCTGGATGGGCTTGATGCCCGTCACTCACCTGCTCTTTAGCACTGCCTTGTGTTGGTTACTCAGGGCCTGGGGAGAGTGGTGGGGATTGTAGATCCGGGGTGGGAACCACCTCACACCCAGAGTTCACCTGGCCACAAGCCAGCAAGCAAGCCCAAGCAGCACAGCTCTAGACACTGAGCCTCTGCACCTCCGGCTGCACTTTCTATTTATATATCAGAGTTTTTTGTTTGTTTGTTTTTGAGAATCATTTGAACCCGGGAGGGGGAGGTTGCAGTGAGCAACCAGCCTGGGCAACGGAGCAAAACATGATCTCAAAAAAAAAAAAAGTCCAAATGTTTTCTTTATATATATGTTTTTTTCTAACTCACCCTCCTCCCTCCCCAAAGGTCGTTTTCTTACTTTTTTTTTTTTTTTTGACAGTTTTGCTTTGTCACCAGGCGCCAGGCCGGAGTGCAGTGGCGCGATCTCTTCTCACTGCAACCTCCGCCTCCCGGGTTCAAGCATTCTCTTGCCTCGGCCTCCCGAGTAGTTGGGACTACAGGCGCCTGCCACCACGACAGCTAATTTTTGTATTTTAGTAGAGACGAGTTTCACTATGTTAGGATGGTTTCGATCTCTTGACCTTGTGATCCGCTCGCCTCAGCCTCCCAAAGTTCTGGGATTACAGACTTGAGCCACCCCTCGGCCTTTCTTACTCTTACGTAGCAAATCTTATGTATTAATACAAGCAGACCCAGGTAAGGGAAAGAGCAAGTGCATTTCAAGTCTCAGCTCACTTTTTAATTAGCTGTAATTTCCTGTGCATGTTACCACATCTACTTTAGTCTGTTTTCCTGTCCACAAAATGCACTAATTCTGAGGGACTGATGGCGGTATGGAGAGCGTGCTGGGTCTTTATCCAATCAGGCGTGCGGTTGAGGAGGAGGGCGTGGCTTCTGGCATTTGGCGGGGCCTTTGTCTTTCGCTTCCACTAAAACGTGGGATCCTTCTCTGCTGTTCCGCGTCCTCCACCTCGGGACCCCTCACCCCGGTGACTCTGTCACAGCCTCCGTTTCCCTGTCATCTGCAGGTCCTGGGAGACGCACAGCTAAGATGCCAGGACATCCTGGAAGTTGGGAAAGGGTGAGTGTGCGGGGTTGGGCATCTCGAGAGCGGAGAGCGGGCTGTGAAACCCGCGGAACCGGCCTTCCCACGGTCGGCTCCTGGGTCAGGGACCTGAGCCCCCGCTGGCGCAGCTCGGCCCCAGGACCCTCTGGCCCTAAGATGGCAGCTGGGCCCGCAGCCGGGAACCCAGCGTCCCCTCTCGTTCCCATGGCGCCCTGTTTGGAGCTCCCTGGGCAGCTCTGCACCCGCAGCCCAGAGTATTTTCTGGATTGTTAAGGGATGCCAGCCGAGTCACCTGTGCACAATCCCGACCCGGTGTTTGCGTGGGAGAAGCTGCGGCCGGTGGGGCTCCCAGTCTCTTTTGTTAAAAATTTCGTTTGTTTGAAACGGAGTCTTGCTCTGTCGCCCAGGCGGGAGTGCAGTGGCGTGGTCCCTGCAACCTCTGTCTCCAAGGCTCAAGCAATTCTCGCGCCTCAGCCCCCGAGAAGCTGGAATTACAGACCTGCCCCACCATGTCTGGCTAATTTTTGTATTTCTAGTAGAGAAGTGGTTTCGCCATGGTGGAAGGTGGTCTGGAACTCCTGTCCTCAAGTTATCCCGCCCGCATCAGCCTCCTGAAGTGCTAAGATTACAAGCGCCGGGCCTCTTCTCTTAAAAATTAAAGGGAGTCAGTGTTAAAATGTTAAAAGTTTATTCGAGCAGTGGTTGGTGAAATGGAAAGCACCCAGCTATTAACATGTGGCCCACCTGAGAGGCATAAAGGAAAGAGTTTTATAAACGGTGTGTGAGAAAAAAAAAGGGGGGCGTGTGAGAAGGGAAACCAAATTCAAGAATTGGTTACAATTATGTAGTCACCTTATTTGTATGATTTAGGTGGAAAGTTTCTGGTTATGTAATCAGATGTTAATTGCAGGTTTATGATTGGTTAAGGCTGAATTTTGTTTCTGCCAAAAATAGTAATTTATAAGAAATGAATTCGAGTTAGGTTTTATTTTTTACTTATGAACACAGGGCACTAGAGCCACTTCAGTCTAATTTTTTTCTTTTTAACTATCTTAACACTCCGCAGGAGGACTGATTTTCCTGTGTGACTTCCTAATGTATGGCAAACAGAACTTCTAATCCACCACCCTGTCCCTAGCTTAACTGAGGCTTGCAGTAAAATTATAAATTTCTACTTTCATTCCTACATTCTCGAATGTAGGAAACAAGGACAACTTCCTCTCCAATTTACACTATCAACTTTTTGTCCTTTTTTATACATTTCTTTTTTTTTTTTTGAGATGGAGTTTTGCTCTTGTTACCCAGGCTGGAGTGCAATGGCGCAATCTCAGCTCACCGCAACTTCTGCCTCCTGGGTTCAGGCAGTTCTCCTACCTCAGCTTCCTGAGTAGCTGGGATTACAGGCACGTGCCACCATGCCCAGCTAATTTTTTGTATTTTTAGTAGAGACGGAGTTTCACCATGTTGACCAGGATGGTCTCGATCTCTTGACCTCGTGATCCACCCGCCTCCGCCTCCCAAAGTGCTGGGATTACAGGCTTGAGCCACCGCGCCTGGCCCTTATTATACATTTCAAACACAGTGTTTTGTTAATCATGTTTTTACACTGCAGTGGAGGGCAGGTTTTTAAAGATTTGTTTTCTGTCTGTAAACTTTTTGTTGTTGTTGTTGTTTTTGGAGAGGGCATTTCACTCTTGTTACCCATGCTAGAGTGCAATGGCATGATCTCAGATCACTGTAACCTCTACAGGCTCAAGCAATTCTCCTGCCTCAGCCTCCCAAATCACTGGGATTACAATCTTCCACCACCAAGCCTGGCTCATTCTTGTATTTTTAGTAGAGATGGAGTTTCTGGCATGTTGGCCAGGCTGGTCTCGACCTTCTGATCTCGGGTGATCCACCCATCTTGTCCTACCAAGTCTGTAAATATTTTACATGAGAAGAAAGTAGAAAATAATCCTCTGGAACTCCACTGTGGGTAAAAAAAATATGTGCCTCTCTCCTTTTATCTTCCCTAGGCACACACACACATTATCTGGGTTAAAGGTTTGCTTTGGAGAAATTACGGGGCCCTTTACAGCAGACTTCCAGTCTTTTTTTGGTCACGAGTTTCAGAAATGTGTGGGATAACCCAAGATGCTTGCAGTGGCCATAGCTCTTGGAGTGTCTACTGAATATCATCCCCTGGGTCATCTCTTAGAGGACAGCTTGAGGAATAAGAGTGTAGCCTCTCAGCAGAGTAGCTGGATGGCCTAGGCCTGTAGAAAATTTCCTTTTTTTTTTTAAGATAGGGTTTCACCATGATGGCCAGGCTGGTCTTGAACTCCTGACCTCAGGTGATCCACCCATCTTGGCCTCCCAAAGTGCTAGGATTACAGGTGTGAGCCACCGTGCCCGGCACGAAAATTTCCTTGTATACCATTTGTATAAAAAGATAACCTCTAAGAAAATTAAAATTTTTTTTTCTTTTTTTTCCTCCCTGACCCACACCCCTAAAATTATTTATTCACAGAGGAACGCTTATGCACTGTTGTTAGTGGGAGTGTAAATTAGTTCAACCATTATGGAAGACAGTGTGGCAACTCCTTAAAGACCTAAAAACAGAAATACCATTTGACCCAGCAATCCATTGTTGGATATTTACCCAAAACTATACGAATCATTCTATTATAAAGACACATGCGTATGGGCATTGCAGCACCATGCACAATAGCAAAGACATGGAATCAACCTAAATGTCTATCAATGATAGACTGGATAAAGAAAATGTACATATACACCGTGGAGTACTGTGCACCCATAAAGAAAATGAGATAATGTCCTTTGCAGAAACATGGATGGAGCCATAAGTCATTTTTCCTGGGAAATTAACACAGGAATAGAAAACTAAATACCACATGTTCTCATTATAAGTGGGAGTTAAAGGATGGGAACACATGGACCCATAGAGGGGAACAGCAATGCATACTGGGCCTATTGGAGGAGAGAGAGGATCAGGAAAAACAATGGGTTCTAGGCTTAATACTCGGATGATGAAATAATCTGCACAACAAATCCCTATGACACACATTTACCTATGTAAAGCATTTGTGCATGTACCCTTAAACTTAAAAGTTAAAAAAAAATTGTTAGCTTTTCCAGTAACAACATTTTGTTTTTTTGTGTATATGACACTATTATGTATCAGATGTTTGGATTACACAGATGAACAGCGTTCAATATACCTGCCCTGTAAGAGTTTATAGTTCATTATCATGGTTTTAGGTGTATAAATGATTAATTTATTCTGGAGACTAACACTTGTACATAAAAAGGCTTATAAGATATTGGGAAACTGGATGCTAATAGTGATCAATTCTGCCACTGACATAGAAGTGGGAAAATCAGGGAGGGCTTTATAGAAGAGGTGACCTTTGAGTGGGTGTCAGGGTTTAATAGAACTTTTTGTGTTGATGGTGCTGTTGCCCAGTATCCTTCTTTTTTGGAGACAGAGTCTCAATCTGTTGCCCAGGTTAGAGTGCAGTGGTGTGTTCTTGGCTCACTACAACCTCTACCTTCCAGGTTCAAGCGATTCTACCACCTCAGCTTCCTGAGTAGCTGGGATTACAGGTGTGAGCCACTGTGCTGGCCCCAGATTATACCCTTTTAAAAATTAATAAAAAAAATTTTACCCCTTGACTCTGAAATATATTGAGGGGTCTCTTCCAATGACATAAAAATGAACAAATGTGTAAACAGTTAAAAAGTTTTTTCTCAGCCTAATTTATTTTTTTTTAACAGAGTTTAATAGGCTCTTGTTGCCTATTAAATGTGTGTAAACTATTACACACATTTACCTATGTAAAGCATTTGTGCATGTACCCTTAAACTTAAAAGTTAAAAAAAAATTGTTAGCTTTTCCAGTAATTCCCTGACAACATTACATGTGTAATAGGCTCTTGTTGCCTACACTGGAGTGCAATGATGTGGTCTCGGCTAACAGCAACCTCCGCCTTCTGTTTTCAAGCGATTCTCCTGTCTCAGCCTCCCGAGTAGCTGGGATTACAGGCATGTGTAATCCCAGCTAATTAGTATGCCTGGCTAATTTTGTACTTTCAGTAGAGACAGGGTTTCTCCGTGTTGGGCAGACTGGTCTCAAACTCCCGACCTCAGGTGATCTGCCTGCTTCAGTCTCCCAAAGTGCTGAGATTACAGGTGCAACCCAGTGCACCTGGCTGAGAAAAGTATTCTTGTCTTTCTACCCTAAAGCTGAACGGGTATATGTAATATCAGGTCGAGCTGTTTTTTTTTTTTTTTTTGAGACGGAGTTTCGCTGTTGTTACCCAGATTGGAGTGCAATGGCGTGATCTCGGCTCACCGCAACCTCTGCCTCCTGGGTTCAGGCAATTCTCCTGCCTCAGCCTCCCGAGTAGCTGGGACCACAGGCGCGTACCACCATGCCCAGCTAATTTTTTGTATTTTTAGTAGAGACGGGGTTTCACCATGTTGACCAGGATGGTCTCGATATCTTCACCTCGTGATCCACCTGCCTTGGCCTCCCAAAGTGCTGGGATTATAGGCGTGAGCTACCGTGCCCGGCCTTGTTTTATGTTTTGTTTTTTTTTTGAGACGGAGTTTTGCTCTTGTTACCCAGGCTGGAGTGCAATGGCGTGATCTCAGCTCACTGCAACCTCCGCCTCCTGGGTTCAGGCAATTCTCCTCAGCCTCTTGAGTAGCTGGGACTACTTGCATGTGCCACCATGCACAGCTAATTTTTTGTATTTTCAGTAGAGACGGGTTTCACCATGTTGACCAGGATGGTCTCGATCTCTTGACCTCGTGATCCACCTGCTTGGGCCTCCCAAAGTGCTGGGATTACAGGCCTGAGCCACCGCGCCCGGCTGTTTTTTGTTTTTTAAGACGGAGTCTTGCTCTTATTGCCATGCAGGAGTGCAGTGGCCTGATCTCGGCTCACTGCAACCTCCACCTCCCAGATCAAGCAATTCTCCTGCCTCAGGCTCCCGAATATGGGATTACAGGTGCCTGCCACCAGGCTCAGCTGTTTTGTATTTGTAGTAGAGACAGGATTTCACCATGTTAGCCAGGCTGGTCTTGAACTCCTGACTTTGTGATCTGCCCACCTCAGCCTCCCAAAGTGCCAGGATTATAGGCGTGGGCCATCACGCCCAGCCATTAGAGGCTGTTTTTTTTTTTTTTTTTTTAGTTTTTGTTATTTTTTTATTTTAAAAATAAAACAGAATCTGCCTTTGCTGCCCTGGCTGGAGTGCTGTGGTGCAATCTTGGCTCACTGCAACCTCCACCTCCTGGGTTCAAGCGATTCTCCTGCCTCAGACTCTCGTAGCTGGGATTACAAGTGCCCACTACCATGCTTGGCTATTTTTTTAGTTTCGGTAGAGATGGGGTTTTACCATGTTGATCAGGCTGGTCTTGAACTTTTTACCTCAGGTGATCCGCCCACCTTGGCCTTGCAAAGTGCTGGGATTATAGGCATGAGCCTCCGAGTCCAGCCAGCTGTTTAATTTTTTATTCTGCCCCCCCGCCCCCCGCCGCCGCCCTCACACACAGAGTCAGCCTGAGTCTCCTCTGTTTGAAAAACTGAAGCATCAGCTCAGGGCTACTGCAGACCCTCTCACTAGCACCCAGGAGTCTGAGGCATTTGGGGATGTCCTGTGCAGACTGTGGAGTCAAGCTGACAACAGAGTCCAATCTTCCTCTCTTCTCGGAGTAAGAAGATTGAGTAACCCAGGGCTTGTTTCTCCCCTCACAGAAGGAATCTCCTTATGTGATGTCCAAATGGGAGTTGCTCTTGTTTCCTGATGCTTGGATGAAGAACAAGTAGGAGCTCTGGAGGGTCACACTGATAGGTAAACAAATTGCTTTCGGTTTTTTTTTCACCATTAGAAGAATAGTTGAAACAGTCATGGAGTCTACTCTTCAGGAATTTTTATTCTAGTGCCAATGAATAAATGATTGAATTAAGAGTAATGTGATCAGAATAAAGAAGGGAGTAGAAGACTTGGGCTTCATTTGGGACACTGGTCTTATGTTGTTGTGAGTTCTGATGTCACCACCTGAAGGGTCATCATAGAAGAGTTGTTGTAACAATTATTTATTGCTTTTCCTTTGTTAAGAATAAATAGTTTTGCTGGGCGTGGTGGCTCACACCTGTAATACCAGCACTTTAGGAGGCCGAGGCGGGTGGATCAAAAGGTCAGGAGTTCGAGACCAGTCTGGCCAATAGTGAAACCCTGTCTCAAGTAAAAATACAAAAAAATTAGCCAGGTGTGATTGTGTGCACCTGTAATCTCAGCTACTTGGGAGGCTGAAGCAGGAAAATCACATCAACCCGGGGGGCAGAGGTTGCCGTGAGCTGAAATCTCGCCATTGCACTCCAGCCCGGGTGACAGTGAGAGACTCTGTCTGAACATAAATAAATAAATAAATAGTTTCTAACATAATTTTTCTAGAAAGACCTAAATGTTTTGGTTAAATCGGTTGTTAGTGTATCATGCAAAATAGAGATGAGTCTTAAGCCATTAAAATCAGAAATATTCTGGGAGTCAAGTTCTTGTTGGTTCAGCTTAGAAAAGATAGAACACAGAGATGAGAGATGAGATGAGAAGCTGAGGGCCAGTTACCTGCCTCAGTCCTATCTAGACCTGCCCTCTTCTGAGCCTTGTCTAGGTCTGGTCCCACTCTGAAGTCTCCCCTCACAGAACTAATTAGAGGAGATCAGGTTCCTATGTGGCCACCCTTGGTGTCCCTTCAGAGCTGGAACTGACAATTTTTCCAAACCTAAAAGCAAATAAATGGTAGCAAAGGACTATATATTTGGGCCTTAATTTCTTTCTCACTGGAACCAGTGCTTCTAGAGACATTTCACAAGCAACCTGCTTTACATGTCTGAGATCCAATAGTTATTCCTTAGTCACCAGAAAGTAAATAGAAACACAACAATTAAAAGTCTCTCTACTAGGGCGGGGCGCGGTGGCTCACGCCTGTAATCCCAGCACTTTGGGAGGCCGAGGTGGGTGGATCACGAGGTCAAGAGATCGAGACCATCCTGGTCAACATGGTGAAACCCCATCTCTACTAAAAATACAAAGAATTAGTTGGGCATGGTGGCACGTGCCTGTAATCCCAGCTACTCAGGAGGCTGAGGCAGAATTGCCTGAACCCAGGAGGCAGAGGTGCGGTGAGCCGAGATTGCGCCATTGCACTTTAGCCTGGGTAACAAGAGAGAAACTCTGTCTCAAAAAAAAAAATGTAAGTATCATTTGATCAATTTTCTCTTGTTGCCCAGTCCTCTCAGTTATAAAAACTCCTCTGGATGTTCTTTTACATTTATCTCTGTATATTGGCTCAAAAGTTCCTTTAAGATAAATTTCAAGTCAGATAAATAGGGATAAAACACAAAGTTATGCTGTGTACTATTTGACAAAATACTTTCTTTTTATTTTATTTTATTTATTGCATTTTAGGTTTTGGGGTACATGTGCAGAACATGCAAGATAGTTGCATAGGTACATACGTGGCAGTGTGTCTTGCTGCCTTCCTCCCCTTCACCCACATCTGGCATTTCTCCCCATGCTATCCTCCCCAGCTTCCCCCTCGCTGTCCCTCCCCTATTCCCCGCCAATAGACCCCAGTGTGTAGTGCTCCTCTCCCTGTGTCCATGTGTTCTCATTGTTATCACCAGCCTATGAGTGAGAATATGCGGTATTTCATTTTCTGTTCTTGTGTCAGTTTGCTGCGAATGATGTTCTCCAGATTCATTCATGTCCCTACAAACGACACGAACTCATCATTTTTGATTGCTGCATAATATTTCATGGTGTATATGTGCCACATTTTCCCAATCCAGTCTATCATCGATGGGCATTTGGGTTGGTTTCAGGTCTTTGCTATTGTAAACAGTGCTGCAATGAACATTCGTGTGCATGTGTCCTTATAGTAGAACGATTTATAGTCCTTTGGATATATACCCAGTAATGGGATTGCTGAGTCAAATGGAATTTCTATTTCTAAGGCCTTGTGGAATCGCCACACTGTCTTCCACAGTGGTTGAACTAATTTACACTCCCACCAACAGTGTAAAAGTGTTCCTATTTCTCCACATCCTCTCCAGCATCTGTTGTCTCCAGATTTTTTAATGATCGCCATTCTAACTGGCGTGAGATGGTATCTCAATGTGGTTTTGATTTGCATCTCTCTAATGACCAGTGATGATGAGCATTTTTTCATATGATTGTTGGCCTCATATATGTCTTCTTTCGTAAAGTGTCTGTTCATATCCTTTGCCCATTTTTGAATGGGCTTGTTTTTTTCCTGTAAATCTGTTTGAGTTCTTTGTAAATTCTGGATATCGGCCCTTTGTCAGATGGGTAAACTGCAAAAATTCTTTCCCATTCTGTTGGTTGCTGATGCACTCTAGTGACTGTTTCTTTTGCCGTGCAGAAGCTGTGGAGTTTGATTAGGTCCCATTTGTCTATTTTGGCTTTTGTTGCCAATGCTTTTGGTGTTTTGTTCATAAAGTCCTTGCCTACTCCTATGTCCTGAATGGTTTTGCCTAGATTTTCTTCTAGGGGTTTTATGGTGCCAGGTCTTATGTTTAAGTCTTTAATCCATCTGGAGTTAATTTTAGTGTAAGGTGTCAGGAAGGGGTCCAGTTTCTGCTTTCTGCACATGGCTAGCCAGTTTTCCCAACACCATTTATTAAACAGGGAATCCTTTCCCCATTGCTTGTTTTTGTCAGGTTTATCAAAGATTGTATGGTTGTCGATATGTTGTGTTGCCTCCGATGCCTCTGTTTTGTTCCATTGGTCTATATCTCTGTTTTGGTACCAGTACCATGGTGTTTTGATTACTGTAGCCTTGTAGTGTAGTTTGAAGTCCAGTAGTGTGATGCCTCCTGCTGTGTTCTTTTTACTTATAATTGACGTGGCTATGTGGGCTCTTTTTTGGTTCCTTATGAAATTCAAGGTGGTTTTTTCCAGTTCTATGAAGAAAGTCAATGGTAGCTTGATGGGGATAGCGTTGAGTCTGTAAATTACTTTGGGCATTATGGCCATTTTCACGATATTGATTCTTCCTAACCATGAACATGGAATGTTTCTCCATCTGTTTGTGTCCTCTCTTATTTTGTTGAGCAGTGGTTTGTAGTTCTCCTTGAAGAGGTCCCTTACGTTCCTTGTGAGTTGTATTCCTAGGTATTTTATTCTCTTTGTAGCCATTGTGAATGGCAGTTTGTTCTGGATTTGGCTCTCTTTAAGTCTGTTATTGGTGTATAGGAATGCTTGTGATTTTTGCACATTGACTTTGTCTCCTGAGACTTTGCTGAAGTTGCTTATCAGTTTCAGGAGTTTTTGGGCTGAGTCGATGGGGTCTTCTAGATATACTATCATGTCGTCTGCAAATAGAGACAGTTTGGCTTCCTCCTTTTCTATTTGAAAACGCTTTATTTCTTTTTCTTGCCTGATTGCTCTGGCTCGAACTTCCAGTACTATATGGAATAGGAGTGGTGAGAGAGGGCATCCTTGTCTAGTGCCGGATTTCAAAGGGAATGCTTCCAGTTTTTGCCCATTCAGTATGAAATTGGCTGTTGGTTTGTCGTAAATAGCTTTTATTATTTTGAGATACCTTCCATCAATACCGAGTTTATTGAGGGTATTTAGCATAAAGGGCTGTTGAATTTTGTCAAAGGCCTTCTCTGTGTCAATTGAGATAATCATGTGGTTTTTGTTTTTGGTTCTGTTTATGTGGAGAATTATATTTATAGACTTGCTTATGTTGAACCAGCCTTGCATCCTCACGATGAATTCTACTTGATCATGATGGATAAGCTTTTTGATGTGCTGTTGCAATTGGCTTGCCAGTATTTTATTGAAGATTTTTGCATCTATGTTCATCATGGATATTGGCCTGAAGTTTTCTTTTCTTGTTGAGTCTCTGCCAGGTTTTGGTATCAGGATGATGTTGGTCTCATAAAATGATTTGGGAAGGATTCCCTTTTTGGATTATTTGGAATAGTTTCAGAAGGAATCGTAACAGTTCCTCTTTGTGTGTCTGGTAGAATTCGGCTGTGAACCCATCTGGACCTGGGATTTTTTTGTGTGGTAGGCTTTTAATTGCTGCCTCGACTTCAGACCTTGTTATTGGTCTATTCATAGTTTCAGCTTCCTCCTGGTTTAGGCTTGGGAGGACACAGGAGTCCAGGAATTTATCCATTTCTTCTAGGTTTACTAGTTTATGTGCATAGAGTTGTTTGTAATATTCTCTGATGATGGTTTGAATTTCTTTGGAATCTGTGGTGATTTCCCGTTTATCGTTTTTTTATTGCATCTATTTGGTTATTTTCTCTTTTCTTTTTTATCAGTCTGGCTAGTGGTCTGTCTATTTTGTTGATCTTTTCAAAAAACCAGCTCTTGGATTTATTGATTTTTTGTGTCTCTATCTCCTTCAGTTCTGCTCTGATCTTAGTTATTTCTTGTCTTCTGCTAGGTTTTGAGTTTTTTTGATCTTGCTCCTCTAGCTCTTTCAATTTTGACGATAGGGTGTCAATTCTGGATCTCTCCATTCTCCTCATATGGGCACTTATTGCTATATACTTTCCTCTAGAGACTGCTTTAAATGTGTCCTAGAGATTCTGGTATGTTGTGTGTTCGTTCTCATTGGTTTCGAAAAACTTCTTTATTTCTGCCTTCATTTCATTGTTTATCCAATCAACATTCAAGAGCCAGTTGTTCAGTTTCCATGAAGCTGTACGGTTCTGAGTTAGTTTCTGAATTCTGAGTTCTAACTTGATTGCACTATGGTCTGAGAGACTGTTTGTTATGATTTCAGTTGTTTTGCATTTGCTGACGAG